GGGAGCCACTGCTGGTCACAGAGGACATGAGGATGCTGACGGGGAAGCCCGGCCCTCACAGGAGGCCCAGTCTGCCGCGGACACACCGCGTTTCTCCACGGATGCACGGCCCTGGGTGATGCCCTGGGAGCTGGGTCTGGGAGCAAGCAGCCTCCCGCGGTGTCACGGCATCTCGGGCCACCTCTCCCCACGGTCCTCCTCGCGCCCCCCCAGCTCTCCCGCCACCTGAGGTCTCCAGAAAAGACCTGGCCGCAGCGCCACAGCCAAGTGGGGCCGTCCACAGGCAGCTCGGCCCAGTTTCCCCCTCACGCTCTCACAGACGCCCTTAGTCTTGAGCCATCTGCAGAGAGCACAGACACACGAAACGCAACGAGGGTCTCCAGGGTTAGAGCATTTTAACGTCCTCAGCACTCTCCAGGCGCACCTGAGGGAGCCCCCGCCCCAGCAGAACCACACAGGGCCCCCTTGGCTCCCGAGTCCTGCCGGGACTTGCTTCCCGGGCTCCCAGGGCTGTGGCTCCCCTCCTCACTCCTCCTCCTCCTCCTCCTCCTCCTCCTCCTCCTCCTCGTCGTCGTCCTCGTCGTGGCAGTGTGTGATTTCCTGGGGGGCCAGCGGAAAGAGGTTGGGGGGCTTAATCTCACTGATCGAGCGGGTCAGCTGGTGCCGCTTGTAGTCGGTGTCCTTGAAGTCCACGGACGTGCGGTTCCGGGTGGCGAGGGGAGACTCCATCTCGTTGATGTCTACGTGTGTGTGCTCCACTGTGGACTCGTGGGGCATCTGGACAGACAAGTGAGAGGCTCAGGAAGCAGGCAGGACCAAAGCGCTGCTTCCCAAGCCCGGCTCCGCTCCGCTGCCAGGCCATCGGGGGAGCTGTGTCCGCGATGCCAGAAGGCAAGTCGGTGCCAAGCCCGCTTCCCAGGACGACCGCTCGCTGCCTGTGCTCCTCGCTCCCTGCCCCCAAAATGCACCCGCCTTGTTACTGCAGCCCGAGACGGCCCAAGACAGGAGATTCTCACTATGTCACGGCAAGGGGGAAAAAAAACGATCAGCACTGGAACCTAAGAATATAAAAACGACACTGCTTCTGATTAGGGCTAACAATCTTTACCACTCAAGCGCAACTCTCACAGAGGCAGCTCTGCAGCCTTCTGTCTGGCCACACTTTCTCGAGGTCCCCTCCGTGTCCGCCGTGGAGGCTGCCCTGGCTCTGAGCACCAGCGGGGAATGCCCACGCTGCCTCCATGCTGACCGCGGCCTCAGGGACTCTCGACCGGCCACCGCGGCTCCCGGCGGGGCCTCACTCACCAAGACGTGGGCGGCTCTGAAGAGGTAGCTGAACGGGTAGTAGAGCAGGTTGATGAAGGAGGCCGCGTACAGGTCGGCGTAGCGCATCACCTGACTGGCGAAGAGCGTCTGCCGGGAGCCGCTGCGGAACAGGCTTCCCATCATGCCATAGCACATGTCCATGTCGTGCGTCACTTTCTAAAACAGAGCAAGTTCACAGCTGCCAGTCACCCAGCAGGCAGGCGTGCGGCAGCAGCGAGGAGCCCGTCCCTGCACAAAGCCAGAAATACGAAGCCACTCAACTTGCTCCCCAAGCCCCTCCCAAATCCCACCTTAATCCGCCTCTGGATGGAACTGATGTCTGGGCGCTCGTTGCTACTGCTGTCAAGGTGCCTGAGGCAAAAGAAAATCTTGGTGAGAACCTCTGGAAAGAACGTTTCTTGGGGGAGAAGTTTTCGGAATTAGGAAACTTACTTGTAGAGTTCAGCCAAGAAAATATCCAAGCTCTGGAGCTCTTCGAAAAGTGCTAGGTAAGGTTTAGAAGGAAAAGGCGGCTATCAGTGAACCCAATAGAAAGCACCCAGTTTTTAACTTCTGCTAAAACTAAATTAGCAAGCTGCAGCTAAGACCAAGAGGTCCCAGCCTGCGAGTCCCACGCCAGAGGGGAGTGTGCCTGTGGCCCCTCCTCCCCGGGAGCTCTGCGTGGGGCCGATGGGCCTCCCGTCTCCTCTGGCCGGCCTGCCCCCGGCCGTGTGCTCCTTCCGGGCTTGCCAAGGCCGGCTCACACCCCAACTCGGGGGCAGCAGCGGAGCACGTCGCCCGCTACAGATGACAGACTGAGACCCGCGACTGATCCGGAGTCACAGGACCAGGAGCCGTTAGCACCAAACCAACTGGCTTTTGTTTTGAGTCGGAGTCTCACTCTGTCCCCCAGGCTGGAGTGCAGGGGCACACTCACGGCCACCGCAGCCTCGGCCTGCTAGGCTCAGGGGATCTTCCGTTTCAGCAACCCAGGTAGCCAGCCGACTAGATTTCTAAACGCCCCAGGCAGAGAAGTCGAAGATGTGACGGCAAAGCTGGCCAGGAAACCCCCTGGGAGTCCAGGCAAAGCGCACAACAGTGGCGGCCACTGCACACTTCCTGGGCACCGCAGCCGTTCTCCACTGGGGTTCCCCAGGAGGAAGTGGCCGCAGGCATCTACTGCAGACACCCTCTCTCCCACCCGCCATCCTCGAGGACTGAGATCGCCTTCTGCGTTCTGTGGCAGGGATGAGGAGTCTGGCTGAGAAGGGCTGGCACGTCTCCGCCTCCCTCCACCGGACCTCTCGGCCTCAGGAGGTGAGCACTCTTCCCAGCCCTGTCTCTGCACTGGAGGAAGCGGAGTGCAAATTCTCCTCTGGAACTGCCCGAGGGCTGCAGACGTGAAAGGGGGAGCTGGGCTTCTGGGTTCAGAGAAACGCTCACCACGCTGTGCACGATTGCACCGGGGCTGCCGGGAGCGTGGCCAGACACCCTGACAGACCTCCACAGCACAAGTCAGTGCAGTGTGCGGTGCAGCTCAGCTCAAGCTGCAATCTGTCCTCACTCTGCCTCTCAGAAGAGGCCACAGAAAACACCAAGGGATTAACATGCAGAGCCAGCACTGCCCCAGAATCGCAGGCAGGCCCTGTGGGCCGAGACGGGGCTACTGGGCAAGGCTGGAGAGCGGGACGGCAGGACACCACACTCCAGCTCGCCACTGAGTTGTTACTGCAACACAGCCCAGGACCCGGACTTTCCACGGGCCTCAGAGAACAAGACGACCTCTCAGACTCACTCTCCCACTCCGAAATTCTGGAAACACTGCCTGTTCTACGGGAAGGAAGTTCCCAAGGCCAGGGCCCACCTCTGATCCCCTCTGAGTCCTGCATGCAAAGTGGCAGCTTATCAGAAGACCCAGTCAGAGCTGGGCCTTTGGGGGTGAACTGGCCGTGCCAGAGGCGAGAGCAAGAAGAGAGGCTCCTTACAGCTCTTGTCGGTCCAGACGTGCAGCTCCTGCGCAAGCTCTGGAATCACCAGGAAAGTCCGCCACCCTTGTCTCTTCTTGGATTTTAAAATGTCCCCAAAAATGTGGTCTCCGATGTACAAAATGTCTTTGCCCTTGGCGCCCAACAGATCACAGATTGTATCCGAAGAACCTGAAATAACCGGGTGAGTAATGAGGAAACGGAAACGTCTCTCCACTAGACCGGCGTTCCAAGCAGCGCAATCATTCACCAGCGTGATCAGTTTTATTCTCGCCATTAATCGAGGACAAAGAAAAAGGGCTGACCTTTCTTAAAGACACAGGCTCACCGTTCTCCTTCTGTTGCCTCTGAGACAAGGCCTTCAGCGCCACTGTGCTGACCAGAAAACCCAAGAGCAACAAAACCACAGCCCAGCTGTGGCGGATATGACCTCCCGAAGTGCCACCACCATGTTCACCACGGATCTGCCACTAAGCTAGCTCCGCACAAACGGTTTCGCAGTCCAGCATCACATGCACCTGTGCTCACAGGGGCTCTTGGAAAACCCCTTGAGGAGGTCTCCAGAAGCGCCCCAAAGGGTTCCGAACACTGAGAGTGGGCCTCAAGGAGGTTTGTCGAGAACACGGGGGCGGGGGGGGGCAGAGAGATCCTTTCCCGAGAGCCAGGGAGATACCAGCAGCTTCGCTGGCCTCCCCGAAGCAGCAGGCGGAGGCCCAGGCCCGCCTCCGCAGGGAGCCCCGAGGCGGCTGGCGCGGACGAGCAGGCCGGCGACTCACCTCCCGAGTAGACGATGCCGTGCTGCAGGGGCCCGGTGTAGGTCCCGATCTTCAGCTTCCCGGTTTTCTGCATGGAGCGAACACAGACTCTGTGGCGCCGCTCACCCCACCGCCGCCCCGCAGCGCTCCCAGCCAGGCGGTCGAGGCAACGGCGCTCACGCTTTCTGAGCGGGTCTGCTTGGCTACCTCAGCTCAGGCCAGAATGCTTCCTTTCGAAAGAGAGCTGCGACCGTAAGTAGCCAACGCCAGTCTCCTTCGGGAGAGCAGGACTGGGGAAAGGAGACGGAGCCGCGTGCGGACGGACGCCTCCTCCTCCGGACTTACCGTGTCCACCTGGCGCAGGACTGTGCCTTCTCCGAAAAAGAGCGGTTTCCGGGCATCCACCAAGATCAAGTCGAAGTAGGACTGCCATGGCCGATGGGAGCTCCCGGGCTGCGAGGGAGAAACAGCACTCCTTGCCTCAAGGCGCGGACACTCCAGCTCGCCCAGGGCAAGGAATGCAGGAATACTAAGGACTGCCCGAGATCCCACTAGTTTAAAATGGATCGTGTCTAATTAAAAGCCACATCCTTTTGGAAGCAGGCAAGGCGTACGCGGTCCATAAGTGACTCTAAAACTGCACTTTCTACGTTCCAAATCACTTCTTCTACCACTGAGTTACAGCAGCTTGCTTCCCAGCACTTTCACACATCAAAGTGCTCACATTCTGAGACGTGCTGCGAAGGGCTCGGCAGGGCCGGGGAGAGATGCAGACACCCGAGGGCAGACTGCGGGAGAGGCAGACGGGGACTCCAGTGCACAACGACCACAGGCTGTTATTAGGGACGTTACCGGTACCGTCTCAGAATGATGGCTCTAGGTACACAGCGGACTCGGGCTCAACTGCAAGCTAATCACAACACTAATGCAGAAGTTACGCCCTCTAAAATTATTTCCATCCTGAAATGGAACCATGGCATTAACCTTTTAAGATCAAGTTGAAGGGCACCGCCCACTGTGATCTGGGGTGATCTAAAACAGGGATTTGCTGGTGTCCGTTCACACAAGTCCAGGATCAACATTCGCTGTGGCTAAGTTGCAGTGGGAACTCCTTAAGCCAAGTGCAGCCATTCTGCCAGGCGCAGACTCCTTCGCTCTACACCAAGGGCAACTGCTCTCTTGGCACAAGCTCAGCAGTGAGTAACAGCAGAATCTAGACGCCATCCAGAATACGCACATTCAAACTTTCTCCTTCTGTTCCTCAAGGAGTTTCCTCAACCTGGAGAAATTCCTTTCACTGCCACACACACTTAATTCTGCTTAGAACTTCTTGGGCATAAAATTATTCTCGGCCCATCCTACTAAATACCTCATGAATATCCCTTTTATTCTATGAAGTTTTCACATCGCTAATGATTTTAAATTCTAGCTCCTGGATTACCTCTAATGGTAACGACGGTTAGATTTCTGGGTGGATTCTGACCAGCTCCCTTCCCCTGAATATTCCAGGATGATTAAATGTATTCACTATTACTAAAGCAATGGTCTATTAAAGTTATATACAGTACCTTGGGGCCATGTGGGAAATCAAACAGGTAAGTCATAATTTTCTGGGGGGAGAAAAAAATTCAACATAAGGTCCATATACTACTTTTGCAAAAGAAATATAACACCTAAACAACATTACCACAGCTTTTTGTAAAACATGTCTTTCCTAGTAAAGGCTTCACTACATCCTTGTTTCATCTAGCGTTTATGAAGTCATGGCAGAAGCCAGAAAGTAATGCTTCATCATACCAAAACAAACCTTTAAAAAACTTTTGCTGGCTAGGCTTGGTGGCTCAGCCTTTAATCCTGGCACTTTGGGAGGCCAAGGCGAATAGACTGCCTGAACCCACGGGTTCAAGACCAGTCCCGGTAACTAGGCGAGACCTCCTCTCTACAATAAAATAAAAAATAGCGGGGCGTGGTAGCACAAGTCTGTAGTTCCGGCTACTTGGAAGGCTGAGACAGAAGGCCAGAGCCTAGCACACTGCACTCCAGCCTAGGCGACGGAGTGAGACTCCAACTCAAAAAAAAAAACCAAAAACTTCTGTCTTTCTCAGGGATGATCCGCACTTCCACTGGGTGTTTGGGAACACACGTTTGGAGGTGAGGTAAGGGGGCAGTGGAGGAGGTTAGGGGAGCAGAGAAAATGAAGGACTCACAGCGAAAAAGCACGTCAACTGGGTCTGGCTGCTTCTGGCCTCGGGCCAGCTGAGTCAGCAGACCACTGGTCTGTAAGATTGTTTACTACAAATCACCAGACGTCTGAATCAAGAACTCGGGGCAGACGTCTTGCTATTATGATAAACTTGTGAGTGTCTCAGGAAAAGTTAAGGAACTCAGTCAGCTTTCCCACATGCTTTAATCATGGGAAATTTTACCTAAGTTAAAAGGTAGTAAACTTGGGCCAGACACGGTGCCTCACACTACTAATCCCAGCCCTTCGGGAGGCTGAGGTGGGAGGATTGCGTGAGTACAGGAGTTCAAGACCAGGCTGGGCATTATAGTGAGACCCCCGTCTCTACAAAGAAAGCCAGGTGTGCTGTCATGCCCCTGTAGCCCGTAGTCCCAGCTGCCGACTTGGGAGGCTGAGATGGTAAGACTGCTGGAGCCCAGAAGTTCGAGGCTGTCGTGAGCCTGGGCAAGAGTGAGACCCCGTCTCTAGAAAAGGTAATGAGATGACAAGAAACTACCTTCACTTAATCAACTTCTACCTTCCACATTACCTTCATAGTTCTTTAGGCCACAATAACTCTTCTGCATAAATAAACAAATATGAATCTTGAGCACTTACGTCTGTGTATTTGTAGTCACTGTTGGTGGCAAGAAATACTTTCCCCACTTCCTTCATCCGGCTCAGAAGCAGAGGCAGTTTTCCCTGAAATGTAAGACGGCAACGAGTAAAACACCAAAACGAATGTCTTTGCAGCTACATCTTGGGTAGCCATAAGGGCTAGGGGGTGGGTTTCAGAATTTTGCATTTAAAAGTCCACGTGATCACTATGGATGAAGTAGTAACATATGCAGCGCACAGTGTATACCGTAGATTCATATATAAACCGACACACATTTTTATATGGCCACTAACACAGTGCCTCCGCCTTTCTCGTGGCGTCTGCTTCAGGAAGAGTGTGAGCACCTTGAGATTTCGTGACGTGTGTGAGGTGAGAGTCAGGAGAAGCTGGCTTAGCATCGTCGCAAGGACTCCACGTGGAGATTACTAGACATGGCTTCTCTGTGTCACCAGGGATTCCCAAAACTCCTTGCAGACTGAAGTGACACATGCGGGTGCAGCCTACAAAACGCCCACACCCACCTGCAGACAGTGAGGAAACCGGACCCTGACGTGTCTGCAAAGAAAGACGCCATTTCCTTCTCTCACGGGGAGGAGGGTGCATCCCTCAAACCCTGCTGGCCCCTCACTGGGTCCCTCCTTGAAGCAGTGTGGAAGATGGGCAGGAGTAGGCAGCCCGGACTAGAAACAGGACGCCACCACCACAGCACTTGGAGAAAATGCTGCAGCTCCTACGTCCGACGCTCGGTAGGCGAGAAAGAAGCGTCTCGTCTCGGGGCTCTGTGTGTGTCCGCTTTTATTCTGCAGCAATTCTAGGCTTATAGAGGAGTCGGGAAGACAGTGCAAAGAGTTCCTGTACCTTCTTATCCAGTGTCCCCTAACATTAATATCTCACGTCACCACAGTCCAATGATCAAAACTGAGAGATTAACACTGGTTCAATACTATTAACTACAGACTATTCTGAATTTTATCAGATTCTCCACTAATGTCTTTTGAGGTATTTTAAAGCATTCCTCACTATTTCCTCTTGATATGCTAAAGATATTCTAAGTAGCATGTTTTGGAGATAACCTAGTGCAGTGGTACGATTTGGGTGTGAATCGTGGCTTTATTATTTACTAACTGCGTGACCCTTGGCGACTTGTTTAATCCTATTCTCTGGCTTCTTCATCTCTAAGCACTGGTAACAGTAATCCCTAACTCAGGGCTATGAGGAATGCGGGTAATCACCTAGCATGGTGATGTGCACAGCCGAGTAAGCCTCTCGCTGCTATTATGATAATCACGCTAGAACAACAAATGAAATACCAGGACCTCCTGCCCATTGACAAACAAGAAAAACGCCACCAAGACCTGTGCTCTGGCTGAAAACTGTGGGTGATTATACCGGACACATCCCATGCCAAGACAAAGAAACGCCTTCCCTGTCCAGCACGTTACAACAGGTGTGTTAGTTGCTTGCCCAACAGGTCGAGCAAGCGCTCACGCATGTTTCTCCCCTGTATTACTTACGTCTTTGACTACATACTTCTCAAGATTTTCCACTGTCTTTTCCTTAAGAGAGCCCTAGGGGAGGAAAAAAGGAACTAAGAAGAGAACAAAATCTGCTTTGACGTTTAGTTCATCAGGAAACTGTGTTTATTGCCCACCCACAAGCATTCCCTAAGTGTCCACCAAACCGGAAAAGCAGATCCACCAGAGAAGGCCGAGGGGAAGCGCAGGCATAATCTGCTGCCTCCGAGGCTTGCCTCAGGCCGCTCTACTCTAAGTTAAAAACTGAAAAGCAGCTCATGTTTTAGTCATGACAGCTGCTCAGTGTGAATCTCACATCAAGGTCAGCCGCCGAACAGGAGGCACGGGGACAAAGGATGGGGCGTCATCACCCCCGCAGGACGCGCCACACATCCTGATGCACTGAAGTCTCTCGAGTGAGTCTGAGACCCGCGAACCGAAGCAAAACCTTGAAGCCACGCACCCCCACTGAGGACTGACCCGCGTTACCTCCGGGCACCGCGTGCAGCACGGCCAAGGACAAGAACAGACGCGCCCCAGAGCACTGCGCTCATGTTTTCAGCAGGAACGTCCCTGCTCCTTTTGCACAGAACCAACTGTCCGGCGGCGAGTCCCGTGCCCAAAAGCGGCCGGCGAAGCAGCAGCAGCCACGCACCTTGTAGTGAACCCAGTCGACGGCGTCTCTCACATCCTGGAACATGCTCCGGTAGGACATGAAGAGGTCTCCATCTTTGAATCCTGCATCGCAACTACAGGAAGACGACAAGAATGTGACAGGGAATCCAAGAGAGGGGCAATAAAAGGAACACCAGAAACTGCCCGGGGGGCCCCAAGGCTCGGCATCACAGGGGTAAGGCTGTGGCCAACTCGGAAAGTAATTACTCCCTGGTCAAAGTCAGCTTTGGTCGCCAGAAATGGCAGCAGTATTCAGTGGAATACAATGATTGAGCAAGCACCCAGTGACAAGAAAACACTGAATGGAAGCTAAATGGCCAGAGCTCCGAAAGTATCCACCCGCTTCTTCTCTTGACCACTGTTCAGGTACAGGTTCCCACTGAAGCAGCACCTCAAACTGAAAACTGGTCACCTAGGCCTCTCCGCTGTGACCTTCCTGACACTGCTCCTACGCCCAAAGGTCCTGCCCGTGTCCCGCTCCACCCAGGGGCTCGTGTCGTGCAGTGGACAAGGCCTGAAGAGGACACGAGGCGAGAGGTGCCGGCACGCGGCTCAGCCTCAGCAGCAGCTGGGTCGCTCTCCCCGCAGGAGAGGGGCACTCCGTGAGGACTTACGCAAAGTCTACCTCGAGGGGGAGAAGTGGTGTTTATTCCTCACCCAAACCTTGCTGGGCCTGGGCGCGAACTAAAGTACCACCCCTGAATGGCTCCTGGTGGCTGCTGTGAAATGAGTTGGGGGGTTTTAGTGTAATTCTGCTTGGACAGATAATCATCACACAAACCTCCCACTCAGTTGTCACAATTAGCACCTCTGCTGGCGTCTTCGTTCCCAGGAGAAGCCAATCAGAAGTGGTCCCTTCCAACATGGCCGCAGCACCGGCAAGGAGGGGCGTGGGAGGCGAGAGCCTGCATGAACTGCTGGTGCCGTCCCATCTCTCAGGCTGGCAACGTGGCATCTCACTAGCACTACATTCACTTCAGAAAAGCAGAAAAGACCTACAATGGCCAGTTCTCTAACACCCTTGCAGTAATTTTAAAAATCAACTGAAAAAAATGATAGCATAGACATACCTGGTGTATCTGGGACAATTAGTAAAAAAGTCTACTAGGCAGGCCAACAGGTAGGTCTCTGAAAAACGAAGAACAGATACTCATGAGCTCTCAGTGAAACAGTTCGAAGTTGCTCCATGACCTCCTGTGTGCAAAGACGAAGGTCACAGAAGGAAAAGCGTCGGGATAAAGAAGCGTGGAGCGCGTCTACCTGGCAGGTTGAACAGTGTGTTCAGAATGTAAAATCTTTCCGTGTCATCTCGTTGGATAAATTTATTTGGATACTGCTCTCTAGTTTCTGGTCTGAAAGAAAATTTTAAAAGTTAGCACGGCAGTACTCTGAAAAGCGGTTACTGTGCGAGAACCCGTTCGAACGTCTCGACGGCCGGGTGCAAGACAGCGCTCCG